TTTTTCCATTCAGTTCTTTTTATAGCCTTCGTTAGACTTATTTAGTACTAATTTGGTTTTTCCCATAGTATATGTTATCTTTTTAAGATGAATTTTCGAATTTGCTGTCATTATAAAGGTAATGAAATTTATCTGCATATTGAATTTTTATCCTGGAATCTTGTTAAAAATCTTTTTTTTTTTTAATTGAGGTAACACTGGTTTATAATGTTATATAAATTTCAGGTGTACATCAGTATATTTCGATTTCTATGTAGATTACATCATATTCACCACCCAAAGACTAATTACCATCCATCACCACACACATGTGTAAAAGTGTTATTCTGTGATTATCCTTTTGTTCTGTTGGTGTCCTGCACATACAGTTGTTAGACTTCTGCACTAGGACAAGTGTGTTTTTCTTTTCTAGTTCTTGTCCGTTTGTTTATTTTCTGGTGGTTCTGGATTGATCTCTAGCATAATGTTGACTAAGGGAGGTACTGGGCTTACCTCGTTTGTACCTAATTGTTTTGGAGAAAACAGTGAACTTCATACCATGTATATATTGTTACTTCTTTCTTGAGTATTCTTTTATCAGTGTTCCTTTATCAGGTTAGGCACATTCCCGTCTGTTCCCCAGTGGTGAGTTTTTATGTATGGCTGTTGAGTATAATAAAATAGTTTTAGGCAGCTCTTAAGGTGAGTACAGGTAAATCGTACTAATTGATTTTAGAGTTTTCTATTGTATAGTATAACATCAGTGCAGGAAGATGCATATGCCATATGTACAGTTGAGAGAAATATTAAAAAATATTTGAAATATGTGAAATGAAATTCAGCTCTAAGTGTCAAACAGGCTTTCACACCAGACACCCCACTTGCAATGAATCCCAATGGCAAGCCCCTGACTCTGCTGATGTAACTAATATGTTGAATTCTATGAGGATATGTACATATATGTGTATATATATAGTTATGCATATTATATATGTATATATATATATTTTAAGCAATTTAGTTATCAATGTGCAGTTTTATCCCAAATGGTTATTTTACTGTTCTCTTTTGCTTTGCCCTGCAACCAGTCATTCATTTATATCTATATCAATAAAGATATACACACACACACACGTAAATATAGATATCTCCTTCCTGATCCCCCCACTGTGCCACATTTTCCTTAGGCCTTATATTTGGTTTGCTTATTTATTGTTTCCCTCGCAAAGACTTTCAGATCCACGTGTTCAGAATTTTTGTTTTGCTCAGTGCTGTGGCACCAGTGCCTGCTGGTACTAGGACCTGTGTAACCGTAACCTGAATAGATTTGATGAAATAGAAGAGCCAGTGGTAAGATCTTCAAACAGAGCAGTCTCGCATGAGACAGGGCTTGGCTGGGAGAAGGCACACGAGGTTGTAAGTGGAGTTGGATGTTTCTGCTGGCTGCTCTCCCCGGTGCCCGGCAGCAGTCAGCTTATCTCCTTATCACACTGGGAATCACAGTCACTGGAGGGAGACAGCTGGGAGGTGTGTGTGAAGGAAGGGCAGGTGTCAGGAGTTTGTGTGCCGCTACTGACTGCTCTGCATTTCCTCTGCTGTGAACCACTTTTAATAAGAGTTGTTGTTAGAATATGTGAGCTAATGTGTATAAAGCTCTTTGCAAAGTCTTTCTCATATAATGGATGCTCATGGCACATTTAAAAAATTACCATGGTAAAGGGTGTTACAGTATTGGTGGATTTGAGCAGCTGTGTTGGGAGTTCCTGTCTTAGTTGGCTGGGGCTGCTAGAGCAAAAAATGCCAGAGACGGGTGGCTTATAAACAACAGAAGTTTATTTTCATAGTTCTGGAGGTTGGGGAGCCCAAGATCAAGGTGCTGGCAGATTTGGTGTATGGTGGGGCTTCTTCCTGGGTCGTAGACACTGTCTTCTCACTGTGTCCTCACGTGGTGGAAGGGGCAGGGAGCTCTCTGGGGCCTCTGCTATAAGGGTGCTAATCCCATCGGGGGGCTCTGCCCTTGTGACCTAGTCACCTCCCAAAGGCCCCACCTCCTAACACCATCACAGTGGGGCTTAGATGTCAACATGGATTTTGGGGGGACACAGCCTTCAGTCTTCAGCAGTCCCCAAGACCACCCCTGGGTTCAAAGATGCCCTAGGAGGACTCCTGGGATTCAGCCTATAGTTGCTCTGAGAGCTGTGACTTCGTACTGTGCAAGGGTAAAGGAAATCAGCAGAGGGGAGAGGTGCCAGGACGAGTCCTGAGGAGGTGAGCAGGACTCCAGGGGGCCCCTCCAGTGACGTCACATGGCACGTGCTGCATCCCCCCACAGCCACCTGTGACAGCACATGTGAAATGTCGTCCACCAGGGAGGCTGATGAGAGACG